CCTTTGAGCAGTGAGGGGTTTGTAACAGTATGTGGGATTGTTTTTTCTGAGCCTCTGGCAGAATCATCACACACAGTGGATTTAGAATGTACAGAAATTAGAATGTAACAGAATTACAAAAGCTTGATGAGTCACCATGGAAACCAATATGGAATACAGTGTAAAGTTCTCAAGTTCACACCTCACTCCAGAGAGACGTTCTAAACTTACCAGTGAAAAGATTAAGAAACTGAACAATATTTAACATCATTGCTTTTCATCTACAGCCTCTACAAACAAAGGGCAATCTCAAATCACATTTACAATGAATGACGACAAATTGACCATTCCAAGATGATGCATACTTTGTGCATAAAGATCAAATTGTATTCTTAATTAGATTTGTAAATCTTTATATGCAATTAATCAAGGATCATTAACAAACATTAACCTACCAGATATTCATTAGTGGATGTTTATGGTGTTGACTGTTTTTCTTGATCAGTTCCAGTTCCAGATTCAGGTTTATCTCCAGGTGCTGCGGCAGGAATAGCTGCTGTTGTTCTTCTGCTGGCGTTTGCAGGAGCAGCTGCTTTTATGTTTTACCATTGCCTCAAGTTTCTTCCTAAAAGTAAGTAATGTAGTACTGTTAATTGTATTGTACATTTTCCCCCATATCTAATATATAGTTATAATAATAAATAATAGTTTACTAATACAAATGTACATTATTAATTTCATAAGTCAATTGTTTTTTTAAAGCAGCCTCTTTATTTTGTCCAAAGCTACAGTATATTGTACAGTTGAAGTCAGAATTTTTAGCCTCTCTGAATTATAAGCCCCTCTGTTTGTTTTTTTTTCCCTCCAATTTCTGTTTAACGGAGAGAAGATGTTTTTCAACACATTTCTAAACACAATAGTTTTAATAACTTCAAATTTCTAATAACTGATTTATTTTATCTTTCACATGCTTCAGTTCAATTCATCTTTATTTCTATAGCGCTTTTACGTTGTAGATTGTGTCAAAGCAGCTTCACATAGAAGATTAAAGTAAATTGAAACAGTGTCAGTTCAGTTTTTGTTGAAGTTCAGTTTAGTTCAATTTAATTATGAGTTCATAATATTTGACTAGATATTTTTCAAGACACTTCTATACAGCTTAAAGTGACATTTAAAAGCTTAACTGGGTTAGTTAGGTTAACTAGGCAGGTTAGGGTAATTAGGCAAGTTATTGTATAACAATGTCTTGTTCTGTAGAATATGAGAAAAAAAAAATATATGGCTTAAAGAGGCTAATAATTTTGCCCATAAAATGGGTTTTAAAAAATTAAAAACTGCTTTCATTCTAGCTGACATAAAACAAATACGACTTTCTCCAGAAGAAAACATATCAGACATACTGTGAAAATCTGTTAAACATAATTTAGGAAATATTTAAAAAAAAAATAAAATTCAAAGAAGGGCTAATAATTCTGACTTCAACTGTTTATTAAAATGGGGACTGCATGATTCATTCAAATTTCCAAGTATTTAATAAACTTTTGTTTTTTATGTGCTGCTAAAAAGAGGAGCAAAAAGGAGACTTCTGTGTTCAACAATGTCAGATGTGTAAGTATTAAAGTATGCTATTGTAGAGTTGTTGTCATTGTTAGTCAGCATAAAAGCCATTTTTAACACCAGCTTTGTTGAAATTGGTTTAGAGTAGCAATAACTGAAGTCTGTGTTTGTCCACTGTTGACCTGCATGATATTAAATCATACAAAATCATATTTGTGTTTGGTTAGTTTGTGTATATTTGATGATGCATCTTTTTGTTTGTGCCACTGTATGTGCTTTTAATACTTTATTTATATAGTAAAAAAATTAGAGGAAGAAGAAAATAATTACTAATAAAATAAAAGGAGAAGGTGGATGGGGGGCAAAGCAGTTGTCATAGGGGTTACTAAATCAAGTGATAATACATTTGAAGCACTTTGTCACATATTGTTTACAATGACACACTCAGTCTGTTTTTGCCAATACTTGTTGCATTCTTAGGTTAAACGCAAGTCTTTCCATACAGTGTATTTCCTTTACGATTCCTATCCATTACGTCCTTGTTGGTGGATCAATCTGAAACAATTTTAGAGTCATGGCTTTTCTGCTACCTGCCTAAAGTATTTGCATTGAGTATTTGTTAATAATTAGAACAATGACTGGCATTTTCCCAAGGTACAGTATAATGTATTAAATGAGTAGTCCATTTCTTCTCCATTTATCGTTTTTTTTTTTTATTTCAGTCGCTACTTCATACCAGAACGGGTGTATTTTTGGGCAAGCACAATATTTTTTTAGTTCCACATTGTCTCCAACAGGAGCCCAACCTTTTAATAACTCACTCAATGCAGAAAGTTTAGGAGTTATAAAGAACCTCATCAGATTTTTCCATCCAAACTCTTTCCAAACTCTCAAGTTTGTGGTTTTTGCATGTGTTACACACACATCTCTCCACTCTTCCACTGTTATTTGTTGGTCTGACTCTTTCTCCCATCTTTGTTTTATTTAATTTGATGAATGAATCTTACTGTTTTGTATGTTTTGTAGGAATACCCATCAGTTCCAGGTGTTTTATTTGCTTTCAGATTTGATATAGCCCTATCCAATTCCTCTATAGTTATTTTAACTATCAATTCTGTGTTCTGTTGTTCCCATATTGGTGATAGGTCAAATGAATCCAGAAAACTCTTTACAATCACAATATGCGCAATATACGCAATATGTTGGGCGTATAAGTCTTTGTTATATAGTTCAAAAGATTTCTGAATGTCTTTTAACTGAGTACACACCTTTTGAGTTTTAGGATTTCTTGTTTATATGTATGTGGTTTTAATGATCTTATTTACTGACACAATCACTGCTGGTTTTGCCCTTTTATGTCCACTAGAGGACACTGTTCTGGTTGTCTGCTCTTGGACTCCATTTCCCATTTCTTATCATCATAATCAGTTTTTGGTTTGCTTATTTTTGCTTGTGCTGTCTTTTTTGCAGTTGTTTGTGGTGTGCTTCAGGGATGTACAAAAAATAAAGTTTTCAGGTTTAGAAAAAGGGGAAATATGAGCTGAAAAAAGGCTTTTCAGTGGTGTTCAGCGTGTTAATTTCACTCTCCCTCCAGCTGATTAATCACACAATGTGCAGCAGCTTTTACACTGGACACAGAAAGCGCAGTGCTATGAAATCCATGTATTTCAGTGGATTGAGCCATGCAACAATGTTTTTTCCTGCACTGACCAAACCGCAAAAGCACTAGCATACACTATGGTCAAAGTTCAAAATAGCTCAATATTCCACTCATGTATACACATACTTATCAAAGCGTGAACTGCACATGCTCACTGGAATAGCAAAGTCTGCTCAAATAATGTGCCAGCAGTAGATTTCTATGTGGTATACTTGTTGCTGCTGCTTGCATTAGTGCCACTGTGCTGCCATGGCAATGCCAGTAAAATGACACATCTCGACTTCATGGTCATTAAAATTTTTGTAAATTGAATATTGGTTAATAAAACAATAGATACTTATTACAAAGCAGTTTTGGTTTTCAGCCAAGTGCATCTAGAATTTTGTGTTTTGGACCTAAATTTTATTTCCATCACATACCTAGTTTGCTTTGATGTATTTGATTTGTTGGTCTGCTTTGCCTGCTCACCTTGTTTATTTCTTGTTTTTTTTTTTTTTCTTGTTTGGCCCTGTGATGCCATGCGTTTTTGTTAGCCTGCATTACATTATTATCTTGACAATAATAAACTGCTTGTATCCTCCACCCAGAGTTTGGCCTGACATTAACAGCACTAAAGTTTTAATTTCCACATCATCACTGTTAAACAGGAGAATGGGAATGCCTGCGTTTCTACTAACAAGTCAGTTTATGTAGCATTATTGTTTACTAGTTTTATTTCATTAACATTTAATGAAATACTAAACAAGATTAATTCGTAATATTCACGTTACTATGTTTATGTGCTGCTGTGACAGATGATGCGAAGATCGTATCCGTGAAGGAGGGAGAATCTGTCACCCTAAAGCCTGATGCTGTAATTCAGAGAGACGATCAGATACTGTGGACATTTGGACCGCAAGAGACTCTTATTGCTGGGTTCAATGGAAATACCAGAGAGATCTCCACAGGTGATGGTGCTGATGGGAGATTCAGAGACAGACTGGTGTTGGACTCTAAGACTGGATCAGTAACAATAACAAACACAGCAAGCGAACATGTTGGAGTCTATAAACTGAAGATCAACAGTAGCACTGGGACCTCATACCAAACCTTCATTCTTACTCTCACACGTGAGTATCTCAAGTCTTTAAATGAAAGTCAGTGTTGAAGTGAAGAGCAGGTGCCTGTTCCATGATGATGACTAAACAAACTCAGAATTTTAGGATTACTTTTAAGTTGACTAATTTGCCAGTGCAATCAGGCTTTATTTTTACCATGACCCTGATTATAAACTTATTCTGTTAACTCAGACTTTGATCCTGAGATCATGAGTGTGGACACATAAAGGCAGGACATCAGGAGCAAACAGCCAATCACATGCCTTGAAACACAAAGATACTGTGCTTGCCAGCTCAGTTCACAGGCTAAACAGTTTAAACATACAGATCTTTAACCTTCAGTGACCAAATAATAATTGATTCATTTAAATAGTTTGATTTCATCAATTAATTGAATAAGCTTATTCTACACATTCCTGTAATTGAATACAAATGAACTTGCCATTATATAAGGAACTGTTTACTTTTAGTAATATCACTAACGTTTATAATAATTGTTAGATCAGCTCAACAAATCTTGTGAAAAAATATTGCATGATGCATCTTATTTTAGTGTCGCTGAACTGTATGAATTAATTTGATATTTATTTAAACTATCACAAAACTGATTGAATCAACTCTTGTTTTTGTTCAGTCCTGATAAAGAGCATCTGAATGAACTTTCTTTTGTATTTCTCTGTTTCTGTCTGCTTCTGTCTCAGATGAAGAAGATGTGATGTCAGTGACAGAGGGTAGTTCTGTCACTTTAGACACTGACACTGAAATACAGAAAGACAATCTGATCCTGTGGATGTTTAGAGATGAAGACAGTCTCATAGCTCAATTGGATAAGACCACAAACACGGTCGCCTTTCCTGATGCAAGATTTAGAAGTTTGAAACTCGACAAAAAGACTGGATCTCTGACCATCATAAACTTTAAAAATATTCACACAGGACTGTACAAACTACAGATCAGCAACAGTGGCAAGATAACCTCAAGCAAGACCTTTAAAGTGCTGGTAAACTGTGAGTATTTCTGTGATGTTGATGCTTTGAAATGCCTGACATATATTATTATTAAGCAATTACAATGTGTGTAGTAATATCAACTGACTCAATATGTTGTGGGATTTGTTTTAATAATGAAAAGTAATGTGTGTGTCTGTTTTGATGCAGCCTAAATGTTCCCTTCTAGCTTTGTTTCATTGAGAAAGCTTAAAAATGTATTATGATTTCACAGATTAAACTATTTTGCTTTTAAAACCAGAGTTAGTTGGTAATTCTGACTGTATTCTAATAGGCTTCATCACATTATTAATTCACTTAGATTAGTTTTTCCCTTTGTAAAGTGATTGAGGATCTTATTTCTTTTTTCTGACAGTCAAAGTGTCAGTGACAGAGGGAGATGCTGTCACGCTAAAGGTTCATGTTGAAATTGCTAAAACAGATGAGATACAGTGGCTATACGAAGAAAACTCTCTTATAGCTGAAATCAAAGAAGGGAGCGTGGAGATTCTTAAATCTTATACAGCTGATGGGAGATTCAGAGGCAGACTGATGTTGGATGACAAGACTGGATCTCTGACCATCAAGAACACCAGACCCGAACATGCTGGATGTTATACACTAAAGATAAACAGCAGCAAAGGGCCATTGGAAAGACAGTTCTTTGTTATTGTCAGAGGTGAGTCGGAGATTTAGCTAAAACTACATCCAGAGATGATGTCTCTGAAAAATGTCTGTGCTTACATTTATGTGAACAATTTAATAGAAATAATTTTTACCAATAAGAAACAATGTGCATTAACTATGATGAAAGCATGCGTGTGCTTAGTAAATGCATCAAATATGTAAGGGATTTTGTTTTAACAAATCATGTTATGAGATAAATGGCATGATGGGACCACAATAATGAACAAATCAGCAGACTGAGCACATTGTAAATGATCTAAAATGTAATTTTGCTTATTGTTAAATGCTTTAACCAAAGTCAGTATTATTTCCTCCAGTCTTTTACAGTCAACATTTAGTTTCACATTGTGACTTGATCTAATTTCAACCCTTTGTTTTATTTCTAAGCGAGTATGATATTAGGAAAGAAGGGAAACAACGTCACTCTGAATGTTCATGCTGAATTACAAAGAGATGATCTGATCCTGTGGATGTTTGGAGACGAAAACAACCTCATAGCTCAAATGAACGGAGAAACATCAGAGAGCACATTTACTAAAGCCGACGAGAGATTCAGAGACAAACTGCTGCTGGACAAGATGACTGGATCTCTGACTATCAGTGACATCACAAGCGAACACTCCGGAGCTTATAAACTACACATCATCAGCAGCAAAAAGTCCATCTACAGCTCATTCAGAGTCTTTTTGTGTGGTGAGTCTTCCAGTTTAATAGACTTTACTATCATAATAAAATATGGACATCTGTATTAGTTTTACAACCTGAAAAACAAGAATGTTTTGTAGGAGCCAACAGCTGATTGGTAATTAATCTATAGGTCTAATTAGTCATTCATTCATTCATTCATTCATTTTCTTGTCGGCTTAGTCACTTTATTAATCCGGGGTCACCACAGTGGAATGAACCGCCAACTTATCCAGCAAGTTTTTTACGCAGCGAATGCCCTTTTAGCTGCAACCCATCTATGGGAAATATCCACACACACATTCACACACACACTCATACACTACGGACAATTTAGCCTACCCAATTCACCTGTAGCGCATGTGTTTGGACTGTGGGGGAAACCGGAGCACCCGGAGGAAACCCACGCGAATGCTGGGAGAACATGCAAACTCCACACAGAAACGCCAACTGAGCAGAGGCTCGAGCCAGCGACCTTCTTGCTGTGAGGCGACAGCGCTACCTACTGCATTCTTCGCCTCCAGGTCTAATTATGTGTAAAGAAATTAGCTTTTAGTCTCGTTACTTTACTCAGTCACTTTCCTTCGGCTTAGTCACAGGTTTATTAGGGGTCACCACAGTGGAATGAACCCCCAATTACTCTGGCATATGTTTTATGTGGCAAATGCCGTCCAGCTGCAAACCCATCACTGAGAGTACAGCAGCTTCAGTGCTGATAAACACCCATTCACTCTCTCATTCACACACACACACACACACACACACACACACACACACACACAGTGGGCAGTTTAGTTTCTCCAATTCACCTATACTAAAAGTATTAGGAGGACTTTGGGGGAGATTGGAGCACCCAACTGGAATATCCAAACCCCATTCAAAAACTAGTGATCTTTTTTTTTTTTCTGTGAGGCAACAGCTAGTCCTCTACATTAAGCTGCCTGTCTTGTTATTTTATATTACTAAATAGTGATGGCTGCTTCCTAAGCAGCGCTTCATGAAGCTTCACCACATTTACAAATCTTTTGTTCTGAGTGCATATCATATTGGCAAGGTTACATAATTTTAGTAAACGGGGCTTCATTATGTTGTAACATTTTGAAAAATTAATGATTCCCCACTAGGGGCGATGTGCATCCTAAAATCTGCTTGAATCATGAGGGTTTCCTCAGATAGCACCTAATGGTGAATCACTGGACAGAACAAACCATCAGCCTTGACATTTAAAATAAGAATGCATATTATGAAGACACTTTATATGATACTAGATGATAAGCTGAGTGCATGTAACACTTTATTTTGATGGTCCACTTGAGTATTAGTAGACTGTCTGCTTAATGTCAGTTGATACTGCTTCTTCAACAGACATTAACCTGACTATAAGAAACTTTACAAGTAGGTATACATGTTAACTTACACCAAGCCTAAACCTAACCTCAACCCTAACCCCAACATAAAAGTCTACTTATAATCTTATTTGAATTAGTTGGCATGTAGATGCAGTGTAACCTAATTCAACAGACAGACCATGAAAATAAAATGTGACTTAAGTGCATTTATAGTTTATACTTTATGTTTTTGAAAATACTGGAAAAGAGAAATACTGAAGGACACACAGTCCTATGCAAACAGATAGTTTAACTTTACTTTTATCTCAGTCTGAGTAACTTTCTCTGTTTGATCTCCAGGTGAGTCTGTTCCAAACACTGTGTCAGTGATGGCAGGAGAAAGCCTTATTTTGATCACTAATTTTAATGTAGAGCAAGATGAGAAGCTGTACTGGACATTTGAAGGTGTGATGCTAGCATCTGGAATGAACGGAGACGTCAGTAAGACTTTCTACAAGAGTAATTGGAGTTTCAGAGACAGGTTGGAGCTGCATCATCAAAGCGCATCTCTGACTGTGAAAAACACCAGAAGCAGCGACTCTGGAGTTTATCAGCTGAACTTGTGGAATAAACACAAGAAACACATTCACTTGGATGTCAATGTTAGCGTTTCTGGTGGGTAACTTAACTCTAATTAACTTCTAAATGACACCCAATTCATTATTAGTTTTTTAAGTGCTAAAATCTTATTTTTCTAACACATTTCCTTAACTAAAGCCTTGAAATGACAATCTGTGCTACACCAACATGGGGAGAACATGCAAACTTTACTCGGAAATGTCAACTGGCGCGGCCGGGACTTGAAACAGCGGCCTTCTTGCTGTGAGGCGACAGTGTTAACCACTGAGCCACCGTGTCACCCTGAGGACTATTAATGCTTTATAAATCCCTTATAAATGACAAATAAAGGCTCAGAATATTTTAAAAAGGAAAAAACAAACAAACAAATGACTTCAAGTGAATCATATCAAATGAAGAATAAATATTTGCAATCTTATCTAAAATATAATCACTGTAGAGTTTAATCATCGATAAATAACACTCAAATATCATAATATATTGTTAAAGCAGGGGCGGACTGGCCAGCTGGCAATTCTGGCAAATGCCAGAAGGGCTGGACCAATTTTTAAATGTGGGCCGGTCAGTTTTTTTTATTTTTTTATTTGTATTGTTTTTAAGTGCAGACAGCTTTTATCTCTTCCTAGATGTGGAATAATAATAATAATAAATGTTAAGTATGTGGCCCAATCGGCAACTGCCGCCTGGTTTCAAGATGGGCCGACCCAATCCGAGGTTACCCGGACATAATCAAAATCTGGAAAGGAATATCATATTATTTCACCATCTATACACTAAATAGTGAATGTACGTGTTTGTGGGTGGGGCTGTGTCGATGTTGTAATGTGGGCTGGTGTGGTTACATTCCCAGGGATGAATTTTTGTCCCAGTCTGCCCCTGTGTTAAAGTATTATATTGTTGTCGTTTTATCCGATTTAATATTGTATGTTGACATTCCTGTTATTCAGCAATGTTTAAACCTTACTGTAGTTTTATTTTTTTAGATAAGATGGCAAATATTTATTGTTCATTTGATACTGAGCCTTTAATTGTCATTTATAATGGATTTACAAAGCATAAATAGATATGTAAATAAGCATATAAATAGTCCTCACTTAAATAAGGTGACAAAACGGGATCAAGTTGAGTTAAACAAGCAATTTAGCAATAAAAAAGGAATCATTAACAAAGTTTTAAATTATATATGTGCATATAGGTCAACAATACAGCATGTTTAGCTTTATTTATAAACTGTTTACTAACATCCACTAATGTAGTTAATGCTTAACAAATAATGAATGAACTTATTGCTAATGCTTAATAAATGATACATAATGTGTAGTTATGAAGTGTAACTAAAAAAAGATAATTTATGAATTGTCAACTTAAAAGGTTTTGGGGTCTGCTGTAATATATTAGCAGTGGTGAATTAAATATAATAATCAAACACTTGAATAAAAGTACAAAATTGACTCCATTAAAAACAAAACACAAATGGGTAACACTTTAATTTAGGTCACAATTCACGTTGCTAACAAATCATTAACTAACACTACTATTTTAATAAACAACTAATTAGCTGTTTATTAATAGTAAGGTCCTTATTTGTAAGTTGCTTTGGATAAAAGTGTCTGCTAAATGACTAAATGTAAATGTGAGGTAAAAGTTTTTGGTTAAGACTAGGGATGCATAATAAGATAATAATATGACTACTGAACAGTTAATATCTTAATAATAGGCAGATAATTAGCCAGTAGTTAATAACATGAATTATGACTCAAACTAAAGTGTTCCCCACTAATGTGACAAAGTTGAATAATTTAGAAAACTGGTTATTTTAATTGTCTCTATCAGATGTTAGAAGTGATATTGAAAATGTATATCTACAGAATAGATGAAGATCTGCTCTCTTTTTGTCCGTTTTTTTTTTTTTTCTTCTTCCAGATGACACCAGAAACACACTGAATCAATCAGTAAATGTACAGATGCCACATGGAGAAATCCAGAGTAATCTGTGAGTTAAACAGACCTTCCTGAAAACCTGTAGACGTTTTGAAAGCTTTAGATATGAAACACTATCCTAAAAAATCTTAAATCAAGAAGCGTTTTCTAGACTTGACTTTCTAGTCTTGTTTTAAGAAATAATGTCAAAATTAAGTGAGTTTTTTTTCTCCTAAAACAAGACATGTGTTGGCGTGTCTAAAAAATGTTTCGTGATTTAAGAATTTTAGATATTTGGACTAGAAGCAAGGCTAAAATCTAAGTTAAAAAAGCATTTTTACAGTGTAGTTAAACCTGTGCATGTTAATGAATCACAACCATTAGTAAATAGGATGAGTACATATGTGATATGTCTTACAGCTGTCTTCAGTCTTTTGACTATGCAGATATTGACAGGTTTGTCAGTTTAAGAAACAAAGTGTTTTGACTATTTATCCAGCAGAGGGCCACAGAGGTCTGTTATTTATTGGGTTGCAGTCAACTTTGTCTGTGACCTCAATGTTTGATATGTGTTGCTACATTACATTGATGTCTATTGATCAGACCGTTCACCAATAAATTAACATTTACTCACTATTTACTCCTCCTCAAGTCATTGCAAACCGTTATTGATTGATTTTTGTGCATGAAAAATGTTAGAAAGCTGTAAACATTGACTTCTATTATAAGAAAAGCTGATGTTATGGAAGTCAGTGGTTACAGATATCCATTATTTCTTTAAAATGTCTTTTGTGTTCAACAGAAGAGAAGAAGCTGGTTTGTGACAAGTGAAGAGAGAGTAAATGATGATGCAAATGAACTGTCCCTTTAATTACTGCTTAGAATGATCATTAAATAGGTTTGCTATAATGTGAAGTGTGATTTAATAGAAATGTGCATGAAATATAGTTTTGCAACATGCAGATCAGAGGACGTTTAGCTTGAACATAGATTGACTTGTGATCACGCATTTAATTTTGTAACTGTGCTCAGTTCTTCTTTTGACTAATTTTACCCTTAATGCTGTTATGATCTAGTGGTCAGCAGCTTCCCAGAATGCTGTTTTAACAAACACACCCACATCTATTGAGAAATGACAGCTTTAAACGGGTTTCCTTCCATCTAATGGTTTATTTTACTTTGTTTTTAAAGACCAAATACTGTCATTAAATTTTATTTTCAGCATGTAAATAAAGTGTGACAATAATAAAGTTGTTTTCTTTTTAAATATATATATATATATAATTGGGCATCTTTATTTCCAATTAAGTCATGAAAACTTGCAAAACTGTTATATGCTGAGTTTGACTTACAATTGCAAGTCTAACTGACTAAAGATGTAAAATAAACATTGAGCTGAATTATTGTGTTTGCAAATGTAATATTTTTACCCCAACATAAAGGAGGCACAAGAATTAAAATACAAGTTTTTTTTTTTTTTTTTTAATAATGTAACAAATAACAATTGAATGCTTATGCAAATGCATAAAAGATATCTTGGATATCACTTTCCCAGCAATTGAGAGAGATGTACTATAATTATTAGTAATATAAATTTTTTCTTCGATTTAGTCGCCACAGCAGAATGCCAACCTATCCAGCATATGTTTTACACAGCGGATGCCCTTCCGGCTGCAACCCAGTACTGGGAGAATTATTAGTAATAGTATTCTATAAACATTTAATAAGTTGCATGTACTCCTAATGTGATTGTTAAGACCATGAATTATTAATAGGCTTGTATGAGATTTTAAAAAAAATACATTTAACAACTTTTTAAAAACAGACATTTAAAAGTCATCAAACATATTTAAAATATAAATTAGACATCTAGAAAGCATACAAAGAAGAAGACAACTTTAAACAAATATGTTAACAACATGCAATGACACATCTGTATAATTCGGCTGAAAGTATAAAACAAGTCCTGCAAACCTCAACTGGGGTTTAAGTATTTTGAGACTGTATTAATATTAAGCAACTAGCTATTTTAAATTGCCAGACTTGCAGGTTTATGAAAACAAAATTGTGTCATAAACTCCCAAGTTTCGATTAATATGATAATATTATCTTAATAGGCAGTGAGGAAGCTTTGAGATTCTGCCTCATGTTCTCCTGAACTCTAGGTGGCGCTGTGCTGAAATTATGTAAGTAACCTCAGGTCATTGTTGTCACAAATACCTATTTCAAGAGTTCACACTTAGCTGATGATTGATTATAAAGCTTGTTTGGCATGATGTCCCGGGAGAGAGCCCTGAGCTCATAAGATTTTGAGCCTGGGGCTCCCTGCCATTTGCCAGGCGAGAGGGGAGTTTGAGCTTAGGTAGATCTTGAGAACTCTCCTGCTGTAGTGGCTAATGAACAGATTGCTCAGATGAAGCAGTGATTACTCTTAAGAGAGAACTACTTACTAGGAGCACGTCTATGTTGCCGATTTGGATTAGTCAATTAACTTAACTTGCATGTTTTTGGACGGTTGGAGAAACCCATGGGAAAGCGATGTGAGCACGAGGAGAACGTGCAAACTCCCCACAGAAACGTCAGCTGGCTTGGTAAGGACTAGAATCAGTGACGTTCTTGCTGTAAGGCAACAGTGCTAACCGCTGGGCCACCATGCCACCCATCTAGGAAAGGAGGAGGAGCAGGGGTGGAGGGGGGAGCAGCCGCAAGCAATCATAAGTATGTGAGCCTATTGAAATTAGTTTATAAATAAACTTTATTTTGGTCTGATTATGACTGTCACGTCCAGCGTAGTGCAGGGAATAAAAGGTGAGGATGCAGATGCAGCCAAACAAATATTTATTTAAACAAACTAAAACAAACCACAACAAAACAACAAGTGAAACATGCAGACATCATGGGAGTGACATAAACCAATGACCATGGAATGTTAACAGGAACAGGATATAAACGCACAAGGAAACAAGTAACTAAACAAGATAATAAAGAGAAGGAGACAATTAACTCAAAGATTACCAGGATAAGGGTAAACTAAGGTGATCAGGAAGTGACATGAACACAGAACTGAAACCCCAGTGGGTCAGGAGTCTCAGATTCAGGAGGTATTGGCAGTTTAGAAAACACCAGTGGGTCAGGAGGTTCAAGTTCTGGAGGTACAGTTCAGATAACCCTAGTGGTTCAGAAAGCTTAGGTTTCGGGAGACACTGGCAGTTCAGATAACCCCAGTGGGTCAGAAGGCTTGGGTTCAGGAGACAGAGAGGCTCTGACAGCACTGGGTAGTCACATGGCTCTAGTGGCACTGGAATGTCACATGGCTCTGGCGGCCATTCATATGACTGAGGTGGCGGCTCTGGCCATGTGTGGGACTCGTGGTGGCTCTGGCCTTTCGTGAAGCTCAAGTGGTGGCTCTGGCTTTTTGTAGAACTCAAGTGGTGGCTCTGGCCTTTCATGGGACTCAGGTGGTGACTCTGGCCATTCGTTGTACTCAAGTGGTGGCTCTGGCCTTTCGTGGGACTCAAGTGGTGGCTCTGGCCATTCGTGGGACTCGGGTGGTGGCTCTGGCTTTTTGTAGAACTCAAGTGGTGGCTCTGGCCTTTCGTGGGACTCAAATGGTGGCTCTGGCCATTCGTTGAACTCAAGTGGCGGCTTTGGCCTATTTGTTGTACTCAAGTGGTGGCTTGCCTTTCGTTGGACTCAAGTGGTGGCTCTGGCTTTTTGTAGAACTCAAGTGGTGGCTCTGGCCTTTCATGGGACTCAAGTGGTGGCTCTGGCCTTTCGTGGAACTCAAGTGGTGGCTCTGGCCTTTCGTGGGACTCAAATGGTGGCTCTGGCCATTCGTTGAACTCAAGTGGCGGCTTTGGCCTATTTGTTGTACTCAAGTGGTGGCTTGCCTTTCGTTGGACTCAAGTGGTGGCTCTGGCTTTTTGTAGAACTCAAGTGGTGGCTCTGGCCTTTCATGGGACTCAAGTGGTGGCTCTGGCCTTTCATGGGACTCAAGTGGTGGCTCTGGCCTTTCGTGGAACTCAGGTGGTGGCTCTGGCTTTTTGTAGAACTCAAGTGGTGGCTCTGGCCATTTGTGGGACTCGGGTAGTGGCTCAGGGCATTCATGAGACTCGGAAGGACCTGGAGCCCACCATTTAGGGAATTTGGAGAGATGTGGCGGCCACCATTTGAGAGATTTGGGAAGATCTGGTGCCTGTTTTTAGGCAGATTCAGGATAATCTGGCACCCGCCATTCGGGGAACTCAGGCAGCGGTGGCTGATCGGTAAACTCAGGCGGCATGAAACAAATGGCGGACTATTTCGTGAGCCACAAACACATCAGAAGCAACACACAAAATGCCAACAGGAATACGAGATGGCGTTGCCAGACTGATGGAGCCCGTCCGAGGAGCTGCAAACAGATTCACAGGTGAGTCAAGCTTGGTTTTGCTCTTCTTTTTCTTTCCAGAGCCCAGTTTGTGTCCAGTTTGGGAAGGCTTAACATAATGTTCGGGTCTAGACCACTCCAAAACAAGTTTTTAACAGTGGTCTCACTCTGGGGAAGGAGGTGGCTAAGCTGAATAAATTCCACCACATATTTCTCTACAGTTGGAATATGACACAAAGAGTGCTTACTGGGCCGATTTTGGCTGCTGGATCCATGGTTGGTCATTAGTTCTGTCACGTCTGGCACAGTGCAGGGAATGAACAAAGGTGAGGATCCAGATGCAGCCAAACAAATATTTAAACAAACTAAAACCAAACCAAAACACAAGTGAACCACGCAGACATCATGGGAGTGACATAAACTAATGACAGTGAAGTGCTAACAGAACAGGGTATAACTACACAAGAAAACAACTAAACAAGCTGAGAAGGGGGTGGAGACAATTAACCCAAAGATTAATATGATAAGGATACACTAAGCTGAACAGAAAATGCCATGAACAAAGAACTGAAATATACAAAAAACCAGGACGTTACAATGAAAAAGTGAGAAGATATACACTGCATTAAATTCAGAAGGCCTCATCCCATATGATCTAATCACTTCTAAACCTGGTTTATACTTCTGCGTCAAGTGACCGGCGTAACCCACGGCGCATGCAACGCGCATAGCTGTGCATTTATACTTCTGCACGCTGTCTCTGTTGGTCCGCATTACACTTCCGAAACGCTAGTTGGCAGTGAGGTGTTTATGTTCCTCTGTGTAGAATTTTTCAATGCTGTTTTGCTTTTCCTGAACACTTCCTGGATGCACAAGTGGCTCCAACTCGCTCATTTTGAGGCAGGAACAGGCAGACGTGCAACAACTTTAACCATGAGGTAAACACAGAACAAAACTTTCCATTCGGAGCTCCTTCATGGGACTCCACACTTGTAAACAATTTCTCCATCAGGCTCGCATCATTCGTGCGGCTCTCGGTCCCGCCCAGACTCGTGAGCACTACCAAGCCGAACAATCAAAAAGCTTGCGCTACGCGTCATTGCGACGTGTAGTAAAATTTTTTGAGTGGTGCACATCAGCGACGCCGACGGCCATGGCGTAGGGCTGTGCGTCAATGCTGTAGCATACGCGTGTGTTTGACGCAGAAGTATAAATCAGCCTTAAAGTTTATGCGCCGAAGTGACAATGTCAATTTC